TCAGGAAGGCATGCTGAGTCAAGATCGGGAGGGTACCACTCTTCGGACTACTCCCGGGATCCCTCTGGGCACCACCACGGCCAGCGCACCTCTAGACAGGGGGACCCACACCGATCCTCACGCGGCAAGTCCCAGCAGCCAATGGACATGCAGGGCCAACCACCAGGTACATACAGGGTACCTTTACACCTGACATAGAATATCATTCTGTATTTAATAGCATTACATTTGTATTGGAGATGTTAACCTGTATTTATAGCCCTTCATCTCAAGTATATCTCAAAGTGTTTTATACTATTCTATACCAACATTTTATTTGCTTGACATATATTTTTTAACTGACTATGCATCACTTTAACTGTTTAGAAATAATGGTAGAATATTGTATATTACACATTATAAGGTTATTCTGGCATTTGGAACGTATTCAAGAAATAGTAAAAGATAGATTAGTCAAAAGCCATTTGTTCATTTAATTTTATGACTTGACCAATATAAGATCTCATTGGGATTCTGCTCAGTGTAGGCAGTCTGGCACCTGTCCATAATGAGTTGTGGTGCCAAAATGTATTCATTTAAAACAAATTAAATGTCTATGACCTGATAAGTGCCAGGAAAATTTCTATGCTACTTTTAAGTTTGTTTTAATTTAGTTTAGCTTATTATAAGTGGGTGAGTGGGTGAAGTAAAAAAAAAAAAGCTAATTACAATGTCCCTTTGCGCTCTTAATTCAGACCTTTTTCCTTATGTCACTCATTCATTAGAATACTTGTATCCCAAAGTTTAAAAAAAGTGTAGGGTATGGTAGGCCTTCAAATTATTACTGGAGAGAAAAATAATTTCTTTTTTAGGTCTGAGGCAGAAATATATAACATCCGTTGTTGTTTGGTCTGAGTTTGTTGCACTTTTACCATTATCTGTCCCCTCAGGGATCAACAGCTTTTAATTAACTATATCAAGCGTAACTTTTTGAAGGAAATATTTCCTCTCTGGGCAGCACTATGACTGTGTTCTTAGCAGTGTGCTCATTAAATTGGTGGTTTGATCTTTGCTCACATCATTTGTTGCAAGTCAGCTTTATTTATTTTTGTTGCATGCCATTCTCTTTTCTTTCCTGTTTCTCCTGTCAATCGCTATTGTACACATTGTAATAAAAGAGGAAATGCCATTCTAATAATATAAAAACCTAAAATCCTGCTTTACCAAAGCAGGACTTTCTCAGAGGCAGACATATTCTCTTGGCTGAAATCAGTGATGCGATTGGATAGGCTAGACATCACTGACTGGAGCTTATCATTGGAGGTTTTCTACCTAGGAACTGTTTGCATAAGACAAGAAACAGCTAATGTGAGGACCACAGATGTGGCGACTGAATCCTTCTGGCACCTATGATTATTCTGAGCCTTCAATCATTCCCTGCAATCTGACACCATGTAAAAGCCTGCAGGGTTGAGGGTACTGATATTCTATCTTGTTTTATAGTATTTGTGTAAAAAATGTGTCATTTCTTTTATCCAGTTTAGTTTTGGAGCAATGAGTGCAAACTTTTCATGAAATAAAAAAAAAGACATCCATTCTTGTACTAGGCTCCTCCAGATCTGGTAGCAGCTCTGCCCGGGGTCAGGGTCCTGCTGGCGGACCTACAGGATCAGGGCGACAAGGCGGTCCAGGTTCCCAAACAGACGGGCCTCCGGGACAAAGGACCCAGCTCCAACAGCAAGCCCCGACATCAGTAACCAGGCCAGGGCAGCCTGGTGCCACAGCGACCACCGGCTCTCAGCAGCAGCCCCCAGCACAAGGACAAGGCATGGGCATGGGGCAGGGCCAGTCCAAGCCAGGACAGATGGGACCAGCAGGTGGACCCATGGGACAGGCCAGGCAGACAGGTCCGGCAGGAACCGTGCCAGTCACCATGGTGAGTATAGAGAGGGCCAATGGGTAGTGAAACAGAAATCAAAAATGTTGCTAACGTGTATAGCTGTTTATGATGATACAAAGAATGTGGTTACTTTCAAGTTTGAAAAAAGTAAAGGTATACATATGTTTTAACCCAGTTAAAATCCAGGTCAGTGGCATATACTGTATTCTTTTAATGAGATAATGTATCTCAAATGGGTTATCAATATCTGCATGGTGTGTAACTGAAACGGGTGTCTACTCTACTGAACATGCCTTTCTCTGCCAATGATGTGTTGCAGAATGAATGTACCACAACTAGATGATTCAGTTACAAAAACCTTGGGCTTTCCCAATTTTCAGCCAGTCATCACCCTCAGCCCTTGCTTTTGTTCATCCTCCTGTGTAATGCTCCCAAATATAAGAGCTGGTCCATCTCTTCCCATTTCATTTGGTTCATTTAAATTCTGCTCTGCCTGTGTCAGCAGGCCTTATCTAATACTGTATTTTACATAGAGGCAGGTGATAACTGTAACCAATTCACTGCTTGCTAGATGCTCAAGAAACTGGCACTCCAAATGTCTCTATTCCACTCTGCATTTACTCCTATTCCACTCTGCATTTACTCCATAATCATAAATCCATGTACGTCTATTTGCAGTTGATGTAACAAATCTGATTATGATATTTAACATAAAAATTCATATAGTTCCATAAAGTTCACAAAGCCACTGTCACCATGTCAATTATGATTATGCCAAAATTATTCATGATGTGCTTTCATTGCTGAATGGTGTTCATGATTTTCATACAAAGTAGTGCTGTGCTGTTGTACAGTGGGAAATCGAAGCGAAATAATTCATAAGCTCTGGTGTCAAATTATGCATTAATTTGTCTTGAAAATTATTCTGAAAGCTCTGCTATAGAAAAGCTCTGACAGGAAGCCATAAACAGTAAAGAGAATTTGTGGTATGATTGTTATTCCCTCTGCAAACTCATTCACTTTCACTCATGTTAGGTCCATTGTGTAATTAAAAGCATTGATTAAGTGGCTGTAAATAATGGAACACTGTTTGCTGCAGTTCAACCATAGTCATTGAGAAACAGAATATTATGCCATGATCTGGCATCAGTCCAGCATCTGTCCAGTCAAGTCAGGTTTTGTTCACTTGTGTTTAACAGGAGTCACACGGAGATTTACAGAAAACAGAGGACACAAAGTAAGAACACAACAATGATAGAGATCAAATCAGAGCAAATATTGGCACATATACTGCCTGGTTTCAGTAAAGGTCTGTTGTAAATTTTCCTGAAGCTATTTTCTGTTAGTGCAGCAGCAGCCACTGTAGTTTAGTCCTTTAACTTTGCAGGCAAAGCTGGAAAGAACCAGCAACACCAGACCTTTGAAAGGGCCCACAGTGACACAGCAGATATCAGCATTTCTAAACAAATCCACTCAAGCAAAGAGATGTAAGACAAGGATGTGGGAAAATATGGAACATCTACAATGCCAACATTTGTAAATGTTAACTAGGAGTTTAAATAAACACTTCATATAGTGTACTACATTTCATTCAGTACAAATATGACTGCCACTGGCATTTGTGGTTGAAATTTCCTTACTGACCTTGGGAGAGTAATCTCAACTCAGGGCCCATCACTACTACTAAGGCTTTGTTCAGAGCTTTTAACTGCCTCAGTGGCTAGCAAACCATCATTGAGACTACAAGGTTGCAACTAGGGCTGTCTTTACCTTTATTGTGTATACTGTCTGCCTGGTAGGGTAATAGCTACCTAGCTAGTTTCTGCATATTGGTCTTTGTCTTCTTCTTCTTTTTTCTCTGTTGTGTGGCAGTGTGTGCAGTACCGTCACCTACTGAGTCAACCAGATAGTTACTGGCTCTAGATTATTTACGATATTATCATATGTGTATTATAACACGATATTACTATTTTATTTTTTAAATATCATGGTTATTGTCAATCCTGGTATATCGCGACACCCCTGTTGGTGACAATTGATGCATATCTCAAATAAATGAATTATTATATTCAAACTGACTGTTTGTAGCTAAGTGAATAAATATAGTGTAGAATAGGTTAAAAATTAAAAAGCGTAGTAGCCTACAATACACCATGAAAATGTCATTCTACAGGGACAAATTTCCACCAAAATAAAAGAAATAATGACAAATAAGGGCTGAAATTATGGCTTTTTAGTTTTGAGTTTACATTTACAAATACACTATTCTCAGAGGCATCTAAAATTGAATTGTGATATTTATACTATTTAACAAATCTGTTAATTGTGAATGTCCCTGTGTCCCTTTCTGTCTGATCACTGACACTTCTCGTTTCAGGTGTGTAGTGCTCTTGACTAACAGCCCACCTAACCTATAGGCTGAGGGCTGTGGAGATAATATAACTGCAGTGATGAAATATTTGGCTCTGTTTCCCAAAAGCTAAAATGGTAACCAGCTTTTCATTCAAATCATTCAGTAAGCTGTCACAACACAACACAAAAGCAGTGCGGCTTTTCTCTCTCACCCTTTGTATCTCTGTCTCTTATCCCTATTTTCCTATTTTCATCCTGTTCTTTTATTATCTCTTTATTTCTCACTGTCACAATCTTATTTAGGTTTTGAATAAACAGAGAGAAATCCTATATCCTCCTTCTTATTCTTCCAGCTAACAGTTTTACTCTGAAAAGAGGGTAAATATGGAGAAGTTAGTTTTTCTAAATGATGAGCTTTGTACTTTTCCTTCATGAAATTGAACTGTTTCTTTCTCTCTCTCTCTCTCTCTGTTTGCAGGCCAAGATTGACACGCCTCCGGCAACTGCTATTGGAGCAAAGGCAGCACCCATCATTGCTTCAAAAGTCAGCCAGCCTCCACTCACAGGCATAGGTACAATATCACACAGCCACACAGCACACACATTCCCACGTCTTGCCAGCCGAGGCCCTACTGTGTCTAGTGTATGTTATGTAACCAGTGTGTGCTGTCACATTTAATCTGCGATTAATCTGCAGATAATCCCACAGTGGAAAACACACATGAAGGGTTTCACTTCATGGCACCCAAATCAGCCTGAGTGTGCCAAGTCACCACATAGTGAGTTATTCAAATAATTTTGAAGCAGGTTGCTGCTTATAACTGCTCAAGTATTAATATTTGCTGCATTCTTCTATGAATCATTTGTTGGACAAAACAAGCAGGTTGAATACTGTATGTCAATTTTGGAACCAGAGTCTGGTGTTTTCCACTCTATTCAGACACTGACAGTTAAGCAAGAAAGCCATTTTTAGATTATTTAAATAATAATTCTAATCATTAGGTGCAGCCCTAGATTTTTCCATGACCTTCATTTCTTAACGGTATAGCAGTTTTCACTTATTGTTATGTTATTAGAGGTTCAGCTGGATAGGACCCAAAAAATTTTGCTTACTGTCAAAAACTAAATGAAATGCCTACTGAATGTATTGGCACCCAGTGTGCTAACAGTAAGCTGCATCTTATTTTAGATTTTTTATGAAAATTTTTAAAAATTAACTTTGCAATGTAATCCAGGCTTCCACTGAATCCAACAGTTAGGAACATGAAAAGCTAACTAGTCTCTTAGTGAACCTGTGGGCCAGTGACAGTTAAGTGTGTACATAGATCTAGTGGATAATTAGGGGAAAAGGTTGGAGGGAGAGGGCTGAATATACAGAGAAGGACAAAGTGTGTGGGGGTGGCTACTGCAGCTGACAAAAATGACCATACTTTCATACTGATCCAGCAAAAATGCACCTCCCTGCTGTGTTTTAACGCAAAGGGCTGTGTTGGTTGTTAGTTTACCTGCTAACAAGATAAAGAGAAGAGTCCTCTTCCTGTGGGTGTCCATGTCCCAAGCTTCCAATGTATGTAATTGGTCAATGCAGTGCCTTTGCTGGGTGGTATCACTGTCCAGTAACCAGATCCACCGTTTTCATAGCACTTGGTTGCATCATTTTGCCAGAGCCCCCTGCAGTGCTGGTGCTGACTTGGTGAACACAGTCCCCCATAGAAATGAATGGGGAGGGCTGTGTGTTGTCACACCTTTGAAACTCAATCTGAAGGTGGCCTGAGTATTTTTCTCTAATGACCACAGTGTTTTATTTACAACTGTGTTATGCAAACTGCAATTAAAATGCACAACAGCAAATGAGCACTTGGCAACAAAGGTATCATTATACAAAAAGAAAAAATCCATACACTGGCAGACACCAACTCCTCTCTGAATCTTTCTTTGAATCTTATCTTCCCTTTCTTCCTTCTTTCTCCTCTATCCAATCATCCTCTCCTCCTCTTCCTCTTTTTGTTTTTTTTTTGTCCAGGCTCCAAGGCAGCTCCTAGGCCAGGAGGTATTGGCAGTGCTGCAGCAGGTCAGCCTGGCATGGAGGGAGACAGCGTGTTGTCCAAGATCCTGCCTGGAGGAGCAGCTGAGCAGGCCGGCAAACTGGGAGAAGGTAAAACAAACCAACTACTAAGAGCACACTCTTCAAACAAATGATTCAACCCGGTTTCCGGGGGAGCAAGCGAGAGCAGACGTCTTTACTGCTCCTCTTGTCTGTTCTACGATTTTTCACATCTTCTACACTTTCAAGTCTTTGAACAAATTCTACAACTATTAAAATGCCTCCAAACGGAAAAGAGCTAATAAATCAGAAGCGAATGAGGATATGGAGGCAGAAGAAGATTATCACAGAGCGGCGCAAGTAACAGACATTCTGGATCAGCAGAAACAGATGTACATCGCGCTGATGAACCAACAGCAGGAAAATTTCAAAGGTTTCATGCAACTAATTATGGAGACAGATAACAAGAGACTCGACGACATGACCAGAGAAATACAGGAGATAAAAACAAGTTTGCAGTTTACCCAGCGAGATGTGGATGTGATTAAAGCAGCCATGGGTGAACAGAAAATACAAACCAAGGAAACAAGGGATGATGTCTACAAAACTTGTGAGAGTCTAATAGCCATAACGGATAAAATGGAGCATTTGGAAGCACAGTCCAAGCGAAAAAACCTGATCTTCAAGGGAATCAAGGAGTCAGCTGGAGAAAGCTGGACGGAAGCGGAATGTAAGGTGAAGGAAATATTAAAGGAGAAACTGCAAATTCATCAAGAAATTGAGATGGAGCGGGCTCACAGAGTCGGGAAACCTTCTGATC